TTGTATTTACCACAGCTCTGCCAGTGGAAGTGGTTGAGCCCAAGCGCATCAAATGAAAAGCAAATAAGAAGGGGGCGGGGCATGTCAGATACTAGAGAGCATTTGATTGGTTAAAAGATTTGATGAGAAACTGAAGTATGGGATTGATCCATTTAGGCGGCAAAACTGCAAGCTTTGGATGTTTACACCAGGTTTATATCTTCTAGGCGATGCAGTGGCGCAGTAAGTAGTGCTGTCGCCTCACAGCAAGAAGGTCGCTGGTTTAAACCTCGGCTCAGTTGGCTTTTCTGTGTGGAGTTTGCATGTTCTCCCTGCACTCGCGTGGGTTTCCTCCAGGTGCTCCGGTTTCCACCACATTCCAAAGACATGCGGTACAGGTGAACTGGGTAGGCCAAATTGTCTGTAGTGTATGAGTGTGTGTGTGTGGATGTTTCCCAGAGATGGGATGCGGCTGGAAGGGCATCCGCTGCGTAAAAACGTGCTGGATAAGTTGGCGGTTCATTCTGCTGTGGCGACCCTGGATTAACAAAGGGACTAAGCCGACAAGAAAATTAATGAATGAATGTAAATATCAATCATAACCATAAGCAGCTCTGCAGAAGACGCATGCCAGTTTTCAGCTCAATTACATTGATTCAGTTTATTTCAACAACCTTTAAAGGGCCCATGAAAATGCTTTGTGCATTTTTTTACTTAAAATTTGATGATGTAATCTCAACTGAAACATAACAGGACAGGGCGGGGCATATAGTAACTCCTCCCTCTTTTTTAAAATCAGCCAATAGCGTTTTTTTTTATCACAGATCTGCCAGTGGAAGTGGCTGAGCTCAAGCGCATCAGATGAAAAGCAAATAAGAAGGGGGCGGGGCATGTCAGATAATAGAGAGCATTTGATTGGTTAAAAGATTTGATGAGAAACTGAAGTATGGGATTGATCCATTTAGGCGGCAAAACTGCAAGCTTTGGATGTTTACACCAGGTTTATATCTTCTAGGCGATGCAGTGGCGCAGTAAGTAGTGCTGTCGCCTCACAGCAAGAAGGTCGCTGGTTTAAACCTCGGCTCAGTTGGCGTTTCTGTGTGGAGTTTGCATGTTCTCCCTGCATTTGCGTGGGTTTCCTCCGGGTGCTCCGATTTCCCCCACAGTCCAAAGACATGCGGTTCAGGTGAATTGGGTAAGCTAAATTGTCCGTAGTGTGTGTGTGGCTATTTCCCAGAGATGGGTTGCGACTGGAAGGGCATCAACTGCGTAAAAATGTGCTGGATAAGTTGGCGGTTCATTCCGCTGTGGCGACCCCGGATTAATAAAGTGACGAAGCCGACAAGAAAATAAATGAATGGATGAATGAATATCTTCTAAATGGGAATGTTATCACAGTTTTGAAGGACACTAGCTTATAGATCACCTTAAAACTAACATATACTGTATTTTCCAAGTTCATCAATTATAAAATGACTTCCATTCCAGCCGTTGAGCAGAAGACGATCATCATTATTCGGCTAAATTTAGGCCAGACTTAATTAAAAATGAGTAATAAATGTGTGCCACTGATTTATCCAACATCTGCAAGCTTAAACATGTATTCTCACAGTGCGACAGTGTTCGAGTGAATCATTCTAGCGATGGTTTACTTATAGATGTCTCTGCATATTAAGTCGGGATGGGAGAAAGTGTTTTCACACACGTCACGCTTGAACAGAAGTGAAATGCGTTCTTCCACTGGTTCCTATAGTTGGAGTTCGCAGCAGGCGTTACTCCCGTAGGGGCCTGTGGTCTCCTCTTTGGCTGTCATAACATCGGACTTTTCACACTGACTTATGTTGAGCAGACGCACTGATCCGTCCTGCAGGCCTGTTCGATTTCAAAGTCGCGGTCCCCTGCCAGAAAAAGGGCCTGCGGTGATGGAGAAGTTTACCGTGGGCCGTCAGCTGCATCCACTCGCTCTTCTGCGCTTAAAATCTTACTCACACCCGCCCGCCTTCCAACTTTCCATGAAAATCAGAGTTATGCTTCAAATGTCAGCTTTTTCCCTTTCCCAACAACATGTGGAGATTAACGCAAGGAGGGGAAAGTAGCTTAAAATCATCAGAAGATGAACGCTCAATCCTATCTGTTTTCTGAATGCATGCTATAGGTCTTATTGTAAAGGCTTTTTCTTATTTATGGAGATCTCAGAAGCAGTGCTCATCATGTCTGGGTAATTTTCTATTCACACTGGCTGTTCCTCAAATCCAAGAACGCAGAGAACGGACTTGTGTTCTTGTGGAGACCGGTCTTGCCAAGTTACCTCGGAAGAACAGACTCGGGAGACTGCGAGAACAGAGAACGCGTCCTGTAAGACATGAGATGCTGCGTTCTTCTCTGGTTCTTTCTGATGGTCACATGACCCTCACGGGTTTTTAATTGGAAAATTACGTAAACATTGCAGCATTCATACAGCGATTTATTGTTTTTCCCCTTTTCAATATATGCTATGCATAAAAACATTATAAATATACGTTGCACAATACAAATAACACCGATTTTAATATGAATTTCAGCAAATGAACACCCTTAATGTGTTTATTTCTTTATTAAGATGTTCATGGTTATGTTTACTTTTAACGTCTCATCTAGGGAAACTCCTGAGACAAATAAGTTTTATCTCTGAATTTTAATAATATATATATATATATATATATATATATATATATATATATATATATATATATATATATATATATATATATATATATATTGCTGCGCTTCCCACCTCCTTTATTCAGCTGCAATGACTTCTAGGACTTCAAGAAGAAGTTTTCCGCTCAAGTCTCCATGCGATATCAAGAACACATCCGGGAACTTTCACACTGCATGATACTGGAAAAGTATGCAATATAGACGATATATATATCTCACAATATAATATTTCCCTAGAAAAGCGCCTTTTTTACTATCTATGTCCTTAAAGGTGCAGACACCCAGTGGTTGAACTAGGTATTGCACGCCTGGTTAAAAACACATGCAAGCGCAGGTGGCCAGATTGACGCCTCCAACAGGAGTGAGTCTGACGATCGAGCCTACGCCCCATTCACACGGGGCATCAGCTTCAACGCTTCCCATTCACTTTGAATGAGTGATGCCAACATTGCCGAACTGCATTGTGGATCCGTACTCGCTGCAGAAGTTGGGACTTGCTCAACTTTTAAGCGCCGATGGAAACATCAGCCAATCAGATCACAAATACACCACCTCAGACAGTAGTCATTGCTGACTAATTTCATTGGCTGACGATTGCGTCAGCCCCAACTTCAGACACGCCCTTTATCAAGCAATGACGCTGAAGCTCCGTGCGATTGGGGTGTAAAAGCTGATTTAAGTCGTGTTCTATATAAAAGCAACAGGAGGTGATAGAAGGAATATTCTCCATATTAAAAAGTGTTGCTCTCCTAAACAACACCTGGAATTTATATTTTAGAAATGGCTTCTATTTCTTGCAGGTGAACAACAGAAAACTGACAATGATCTCCTCAGGTACACCTCATGTATTTTATTCAGTGTTAAATGCTAATAACATGAGTTTAAATGCCATTTTACATGGCATTTATTGCAATACTACTGAAAGCATGTTCATTTAATAATGTTAAAGAGGTTTAATATGTGTTAATTAGATTATAAGCCTTACCATTTCGTTGGAGTGCAGTGAGTGCACTATTCTGTGCTTCTGAATGTCTGTATTTACATTTCTGTCCTGTTTCATCTGGTGCAAACAGCCAGATTGCGTATCACTTTAAATCTGGTCATGTAGTGTGTTGTTAGGACACAAGCTTGCAATGTAACCTGCTCCCCAAATGTTTTATATTATTTGCATATTTATATTATTTGCATATTGGAGTCTGCTACTGTCCAACAGAGGTCACATTTCGGACACATACTTTTAGCGTCTTACTGACTGAATGAATGAAGTATGCGGTTTTCCATCAAGGCAACCCAGGGTGCTGAAATACAATTGGCTAAGGTGGCAGTGGGCAGGTTAAAAGACCAAAACGAAGACAGCCAATCTGACACGTAACGCACATTTTCAAAGCAGAATATCTAACTTAAGCATTGTTTTTCAGATAAACAAGAATGTTGACTTAGTATGTTTCTTAAATACCTGCAAACATACCAAGGTATATTTATACTTCAGAAGAGTCAAAAACTTACATGCAGCACCTTTAAATCATTTATTTATTTGAGGATATTAAAATAAACAGTGAAAATATACATTTTCAAATGTAATTAAGCCAAATCAGACCCCAAAAAATGTGCCAAGATGCAAACATTTCGACTTAAAAAAACAATGACTGAGAGAAAACCTCTGACTTAGTGACAAACTGCAAGCTTTGGATGTTTATATTAGGCTTATAGAGCATTTTGAGGGATGTAAACAAAAACAATGGTCCTAACGTATTACCTGTGTTACATTTTAAATATCTACAGCTTTCGAGAATCCTAAATTAATAAATAATCTTAAGATAGCTGTTTTAACATTACATTATGATTGAGTTGCCTCTTGCTACAATTAAATGTTCTTAAATGCACAGCGGAAAATGTTCATGCGCCAATGACATGACCACATTGAAACACACTAGCTTATCGATAGCCTTAAAACTAGCATGATGATACTTCTAAACATCATGGGGCCTTTAAAAATTTGTTGAAAAGATATTGCGAAATCAGATTAACTTTAAATGTCTAGATTTATATTTCTCTACAGTTCGATATCCTCTAATTTCCCACATCATTACACTAGTTTGATGTCTCCAGTATAATGTAAGCCCCTTGTCTAGGTTTGCTTTACAGTACATGAACTGCAATGACTGGGGAATGAGTCTCTTAAGATGTTAATTAGAACATCTCATTCCCCATAGATCTGATCTGTGAGCGGGGCTTTGGGGTGTAGCTGGATTTGTTTTCTGTTCTCATGGTAACACTCACCTGACGTTTACTGCTCTTCCTCTCTGTGTTTGTCTCTTCAGGTATATCCAGATGATGCTGGTCATGTGTAATCCTCTACAGGTGAGTTAACCTGCTTCCCAAGTCAACACAAAACAAAACAAACCAATTATTAGTACACATTATTGTATCCTATAATACCATGAATGAATGATCCTATCATGTTTTTCCTTATAATCAGCAAAAATTGATAATCAGCAAAAAATAAAAAATTATATATAAATATATAAATAAATAAATAAATAAATATATATATATATATATATATATATATATATATATATATATATATATATATATATATATATATATATATATACAGTTGAGGTCAGAATTATTCGCCCCCTATTATTATCACATTTCTAAACATAATAGTCTTAATAATTCATCTCTAATAACTGATTTATTTTCTTTTTGCCATGATGACAGTAAATAATATTTGACTATATATTTTTCGAGACACTTCTATACAGCTTAAAGTGACATTTAAAGGCTAATAAAATGGTGTTTAAAAAATTAAAAACTGCTTTTATTCTAGCCAAAATAAAACAAATAAGACTTTTTCAAGAAGAAAATATATTATCAGACATACTGTGAAAATTTCCTGAATCTGTTAAACATCATTTGGGAAATACTTTAAAAAGAAACAAAAAATTGAAAGGGGGGCTAATAATTCTGACTTTAAGGGTCTCATTCTATTTCTTAACGCATTACACTTAACAACAGAGCCTAATTTCGATCTAAAACTAGCTAGTGCATTTCCAAAATAGTTATCAAGGGTAAAATATTGCAATATGTTTATGAATTATCAATTGTATTTTGTTGTCTTTTACATCAGATCCTTCGATTAAACAAATAACCTTAATCAGTCATGATATACAGTAACCTATAATTAATCTTTAACAGAAATCATGACAAAAAGATCATCATTGTGTATTACTGTACATTATATTTTAATAATAATTATGCGAAAAATCTAATAATGATGATGATTAATATACTTTTGTGTTTATAAAATGGTTACAAATAAATTGTTACGTTGTGCCATAAACAGCTCTTCAAAACTGCTTAAATAAATGTGCATGCTAAATTAATATCTTACAGTATTTAAGAACTTTGTTTACGATGAATGTAATTGTGTAGTTTGGCGTTTTCAGCGTTGACTAATCTAACCGCTTCTGATTGGCTGCTGCATTCATAAACTCAACAGAAGTGTGTGTTATTGGTTGTAAATCTATGCCATACCTGAAGAGGATAACAATGAATAGCTTTAAAAATGTATATATACATTTATAAAAACATTTATATACATTTCTTTTAAACATTACCAGCTAATCATAATTCGGTTGACGCATTTAAAGTCCTTACCTTATATGATGGTTATAATGCTAATAATGTATGACGAATAGCTTTTGGTTCGAGCAGGCCAACATGGCGCGTTTCCGCTAGTGATGAGCTCAGAGCTGTTTTTACAATGAGTTCACTTCAGAAAAATTCCCGAATAAGAGAAAAAGAAAGGAGGACTGGAGGTGAGGATGTGTGTGGTCTGTTGCCTGCAGGTGTTTGGGGTGGACGGGGTGAATTTCAGCGTGCACGTGGAGAACCAGACGCGCGCACGGGACGCCATGAGCCGGCGGCAGCACCGCGTCTACCAGCTCTACAGCCGCACCAGCGGGAAACACGTGCAGGTGCTCGGACGCAAAATCAGCGCCCGCGGAGACGACGGAGATAAATATGGTAACAACACACACACACACACACACACACATGCATAAGAAAGACCACACACACACACACCATAGAGGAAACAGGAAAAGAAGACAAAGACTCAACTACTGCTGATACAGTGATTTACAGACAGAGATAGATATAGGCAGACAGATACTCACCGGACACTTTATTAGGTACATCTAATAAATTTCTTTGGACTGTGGGGGAAATCAGAGCACCCGGAGGAAACCCACTTGAACACAGAGAGAACATGCCGACTCCACAAAGAAATGTCAACTGACCCAGCCGAGACTCAAACCAGTGACCTTCTTGCTATGAGGCGAGAGTGCTACCCTCTCCACTACTGCGTTGCCTGATATAAATATATCATACATTCTATTTTAATTGAAATATTAATTTATAGGGGGTGATGCAGTGGGTAGCATGTTCGCCTCACAGCAAGAAGGTTGCTGGTTCGAGCCCTGGCTGGGTCAGTTGGCATTTCTGTGGGAAGTTCTCCCCGTGTTAGCGTGGGTTTCCTATATGTGGTACAGGTGAATTAGGTATGCTAAAACTGACCGTAGTGTATATGTGTGAATGAGTCTGTATGGATGTTTCCCAGTGATGGGTTGCAGCTGAAAGAGCATCCGCTGTGTAAAACATATGCTTGGATAAGTTGGCGGTTGATTCCCCTGATTAATAAAGGGACTAATGCCGAGTTCAGACTGCATGATTTTCAAAGTAGTCGTGTCACAGATGTTTTCACACTGCTTGACTATCTGGGCTAGCGTTCCGTCGCTGCTTTGTTTATACTGCAAGATGGATCGGCGACAGGGACTTTCACATTGCATGACTTTACTATAGGAAGAATCGCCGACAACTTCGTCCAAACTACGTCTCACAGCCAAAAACACGTCGTATATCTTTTCTTATTAACGACATAATGAGAAGGAAGTCTTTAATGGGGTAGAACATGTACATATTTGCTCACCTGGGTTTAAAGGGAATTAGCCATTTCTCCTCAACGTTGATAATAAACTAATTTCTTTCTGTATGAAACGTCAAAAAGACACGGTTGCTCCTAAGTCCTGTCAAACCTCCACTAGTTTTTCCTCCATTTCGTGGGTCCAAATAAACCGAAAAAGAGCGCTTTAAACTTCTCCCCCAGGCTCCCGCTGGCCTGCAGCAGGTACACACACACACACACACACACACCAGTGTTGCCAGATTGGAAACGTCAAAGTATCGTACCAGAACCTCAAAACTATCGTACTAGGAGGAAAATTAACGTACACCAGACAAACTGAGAGTATACAGCTATTATCTAGACCAGGGGTCGGCAACCCGCGGCTCTAGAGCCGCATGCGGCTCTTTAGCGCTGCCCCAGTGGCTCCCTGGAGCTTTTTCAAAAAATGTTTGAAAACGGAAAAAGATGGGGGAGGTAAATATATTTTTGTTTTAATATGGTTTCTATAGGAGGACAAACAATCTTAACGTTTTCTAATGCTGTAAAAGTGTGTAGAATATTTATTTTCAACATTTCTGTCAACGAAGATTTGCGTCATAGCCTGCGACACACGGAATAGGCAGGTGGCTGTTGTAAACAATCCGGCGGCTGTGTGATGCGCCATGGAGCGTAAGCTGTCTTTGCCAAAGATGTACGCTCTCTCATTTTCCCTCCCTGAGAGAATTCAAAGAAGCCCATCCTGATTCCTCACTTAACGGTGATTATTTACAAGGTGCGATCGTTGATATGCAAACTGCATTTGGGAGCAGATTTTGCGAGTGGCGAAAGGAAAAAACGAGACTGTCTTTCCTTGTCACACACCCCTGGAGATTGACCCTTCCTTATTGAGCACATTCCCAGTAAGGGGCACGTTATGCACGTTCATTTTGATGTTGTTTTTTGGAATTCTCAAAATAAAAAACATCAAAAATCTGATTTCTTTACTGCATTTCTTTAATTTCATCAAAGCAAAACATGATGCAATAATATTGTAATGAAGTTAAACTTGAACATTAAACATAATTCATTAATATTGTAATGAAGTTAAACTTGAACATTAAACATAATTCATTAATATTGTAATTAAGTTAAACTCGAACATTAAACATAATGCATTAATATTGTAATTAAGTTAAACTTGAGACGGCATCGTACAACAGAGTAGTCACGTGGTGCGTCATTCTCTACAGGATGCACTGCAGGGAAAAAAAAAACATTTAATCATGAAGGCTCAGTATGTATTTGTAGCTAACTAAATCATTTTTATAGTAGGCTAATATAGCTAATATAAATACATACAGCATGTGTTGCCTTCATTATAAGGCTTATATAAGGCTTTTAATTTTTTGCGGCTCCAGACATATTTGTTTTTGTTCTTTTTGGTCCAGTATGGCTCTTTCAACATTTTGGGTTGCCGACCCCTGATCTAGACACATAGCGTTTTGACACGTGCAAATTACCACAATACGTTAAAAAAAAACTAGGTACCTTAATGGGAAGGTTCAAACTCCACCTCTGAGTTGCCGTCATTGAATGTGGCATGTTGTCAGATGTTGAGGGATTTATTTTCTGAGGTTTTGTTTTGATGAGACTAACTTTGTAAAAAAACATGTTCACAAGACCCATTTGAATGGGGAAAAACGAGAACATCAAGGGAAAACTCTCGTCCCTCTCACCTTCCTTTACAGCACGAATTGTTTTAACATTATTGCTTAAAACACAGGTGTCAAACTCAGTTCCAAAAGGGCCACAGCTCTGCACGGTTTAGTTCCAACCCTAATCAAACACACCTGATCAAACTAATTGAGTCCTTCCAGCCTGATCTCACGAGAAAACATAAGTATTTTACGTTTTGCCAGTTTGGTGGCTAATTCGTACGAATTCGTACGATTTCAGTCGTACGAAATGATAAGATTTTAAAAAGGAGGCGTGGCACCTGACCCCACCCCTAACCCCAACCGTCATTGGGGGAAAAGCAAATCGTACTAAATTGTACGAATTAGATCATACGAATTCATACGATTTAGCCACTAAATGAAAAAGTTACGAATTGCCGTGAGATTGTGTCCTTCAGGCTTGTTTGAAACCTACAAGTAAGTGTGTTGGAGCAGGGTTGGAACTAAACTGTGCAGGGCTTCGGCCCTCCAGGAATTGAGTTTGACACCCCTTGCTTAAAAGATCAACCTCAAACTGAAAACTACTGACCTAACCACGGGCACGCGCAGCAGGAGCGTTAACTCGTGAGAGAGAGCCATTCTCTACGTTGATTGGCTGAGAAGAGGCAACGTAAGATGAGATAGAAAACGTGCCTAACTCCACCTACTCCTCACAGACAGTACAGAAAAGATGCAGCTAGATCAATAAGTAAAGAAGCCCGAAGATTACAATGAAGTTACTTTTAAATGCCATAAAATTCTGAAATTATCGTACATTATAGGATTTTTCTTATTATTGATCGTACATCGTACAGAGGTCGAAATCATCGTACATATATGATAATTATCATACGTCTGGCAACACTGACACACACACACAAGTGAATGCCGCTCTCTCATTGGCTGTAGGCGATGGCTGATGTTTCAATTAACACGGCATGATTTGAATCGCCGACAGCTCCAGATATTCAGCACGCCAAATATCTCGCAGGCATCGGCGACTCATCGGCGATTCTCTCAGATCGCGTCTTTGATCGTTCATACTGTGTGATTGTCACTCACGTGCACGAGCAGCGATTTACCTGTGATTTCAGGCATTTGTCGGCGATTTCTCAAAATTTGTCGGCGAGCCAAAATCGGGGCTAAAATCACGCAGTCTGAACTAGGCATAAGCCGAAAAGTGAATGAATGTTATTTTATATTTACTTATAGATTGATTGATTGATTTGTATGCAAATGTGTCCATCAGGCACCCTGACCTCTAGATATCAGTAGCGGTTAGTGAAAACCCTGTCGGTGAAGCGCTGACCTTCTCCCCATCTGTCTACTCATCCATTCATCTCTCCATCCATCCCCCTCTCCTCCTCTGAATGGCCTCGGATGTGTTTCAGAAGCACACAATCAATCGACATGCAAGTTGAAAGCGGATATCTGTGTTCAGATAGGCTCATTTTATTCATGAAGGAGAATTAAAGCGATTAAGCCGAAAAGAAAATGAATTAATGTTATTTAATATTTACTTATAGATTGATTGATTGATTGATTGATTTGTATGCAAATGTGTCCATCAGGCACACAGTAAATCTGTGTTTGAACCATAAGAAAATTATAGCTGTATCAATGTTCCCAAACATTATTAGTTGTATAATAATATATAGAGCACATATGATCTTTAACATAAATGTATTTGCAGAGGCTGGATTGAAACACACCTTTTCTCCACAGCACATGAAATAATGTGACTTTTAGGAATAATTTTATTTATCAAAATTCAAAAATTTGCTAAATATATTGCACAGATTCCACCCTACTGCCCACATAGGAAAAGTAGACAATAGCCCCTTTCACACATGCAGACCTTTCCGGAAAATTGCCGGCAATTTTCCGGAAAGGTCTGTATGTGTGAACAGGTCCTTTTTGAAAATACCGGTAAATTCGTTCTGGCTAATTTCCGGAAAGAGAAGTTGTAACATTACCGGCAATTTGCCGGAATGCTGCGCTGTGTAAATGCAGAAGGAAGATTCCCGTAATAAGCGCGTGCACGTCTAGAACGTGCTGACGTGAGACGTCTGCTTTAGCCAATCACAACAGTCAGACGCATTTACGTCCGCGTGGTTTATGAGGATGAAAGCCTTTGAATATTTTTCCAGACACATTTAGCTGCTAGAAGTTAGTCAGATCACGTTTATATGTTCTTCTTAATGCCAACTGTGTAAATAATCATCGATGAGATGCTTATGATAAGCCGTTGTTTGTTTACCTTCAAGCTTTGCGTGTGCCTGTGAAACAGCCTGTGAGCGCCTCCACACGCACATATTATGAACATCTCGACATGCGAAAGTGATCCTGCGAAAGTTGTTCACAATATTGATCATCCACAGAGTTTGTAATTTAGTCAAATGTTTACAAACACAAGCGCAGCCGTTTAAAGCTCATTTGTGGTGAATGATGTCAGAATTTACCGGTATTTTGGAATGGATGTGTGAATGCTCTTTTCCGGAAAATTTCCGTAACGTCCTCGCCTGTGTGAACAGCGCTTTTTTGAATATACCGGTAAAGTCGTTCCGGAAATTTTCCAGATATTTACCGGTATCACTGTGTGAAAGGGGCTAATGTTAATAGAGACAGAACTGCAAACTCGTGTGCAAAGCTGACACTGTTCATCAGAGCACTTTCTCTTTCTGGGCTTTTTAAAGAAGAGTTAAACATGGGAATGTCTCTAATTAAATTTTTCTTCTGCCCCAAAAGTAATACCATTCTTTCTTTTGAACTGTAATGGCCCTCAGCAACAGAATGATTTCTTATTCTTATTTAACAGACAATTAAAACAACACAGATGTTTAACATTTTACATGACACTGTTTCTTTTCCCGGGCGACGCAGTGGCGCAGCGGGTAGCACATTCGCCTCACAGCAAGAAGGTTGCTGGGTCGCTGGGTCGAGCCTCGGCTCAGTTGGCGTTTCTGTGTGGAGTTTGCATGTTCTCCCTGCATTCGCATGAGTTTCCTCCGGGTGCTCTGGTTTCCCCCACAGTCCAAAGACATGCGGTACAGGTGAATTGGGTAGGCTAAATTTTCCGTAGTGTGTGAATGTGTGTGTGTGGATGTTTCCCAGAGATGGGTTGCGGCTGGAAGGGCATCCACTGCGTAAAAACTTGCTGGATAAGTTGGCGGTTCATTCTGCTGTGGCGACCCCAGATTAATAAAGGGATTAAGCCGACAAGAAATGTTTCTTTACCCCACTTTTGGCGCTCATAAACAATCATAAAGCCCTCGTGCTGCAGGAATGAGGAGGTCTGCTGAAGGTGCAGCTGTCGTGCAGTGTGGGGTTGTGTATTTAATAAACTACGGCAGTTTGCGTTCACTGAACGGTAAGATTGATTAATAAATCCATATGAAACAGCCCCTTAAAAGTCACGTCTCGCTTTCAGTTTCGGGCTTTGACGCGTTTTGCATTCATACTACAAGCGTACCGTGCTCGATTCAGAGCACTCACACTTCTCAAACGATCTGGGAAACGGGCCTGGGCACGGTTCGGATAGCATAGTGTGAGTAGGCCCTGAGTGCATAAGTACATAGTGTATAGTGTGCCATTTGGACGCAGCTAGTGTTTACACGGCGCAAAAGCGCTCTTGTAGGGGAGTGACGTGGAGCCAATCTGCAAATCACAGCACATCATGTTAACTGACCAATCAGAGCCTCTTTTGGGCGGGCCTTTCAGAGGAACTAGGAAATCTGACAGCCGTTTTCATGTTAGCTTAGAAGCTGTATGTATTCAGAGTAAGATATATGAAAAAATAACATGATTTTCTACAAATATAGCATGAGCACACATTGCGTTGCACCTTAAACACAACCATACCTTAAAGATACAGTGGCCCACCCCTTTAAAAACACTGTTTTGTTCAATTAAATGTAACACAGCAAATACATCACCTAAAGATACGTTAAAGTAGACTGTAATTAATCATCATCATTATTATATTCTCCACTGCATTCAATTAAATTCCCAAGATAATAATACAAATGCACAAAACTCTAGCGTTTATATTAAGTGAATAAACGCCCTCAATGTGATCTTGGCCTGTTTTGTGCGATTCGCCTCTATTAATCTGTCATCGTGGAAATATTGTTTCCGAAAAGCTTGCATGTTTTGGCGATGGACTCTCCTCATCAGGAAATGAAGGAGATAAAGAGGGAAGGACGGGCGATGGAAAGGGGGTGAGGATGAATGTATTTACACAGCGAGGCAGGGATGTCTGGATGAGCAGAGATTGGAGGACCACAAAGAGCTTATTGATCTCTGTGACCCCTGCGCTCAGAAAGGTCACGCAGGAGCCATTTCAGCGCTTTAACTGCCATATCCTGAAACACACACACTTACACACACACACACAGGGGTTGAATGACCTCAGAGGAGGCTGACGGTGAACTATAAAACGATAAAAGCAGTGACAACCAATTGCTAAGGCTTTTTTTCACTGATCATGCTTCCGCTGTCATCTCTGAAGAGTACTGCAGTGTGTTTTACAAAGAAAAGGGCATTTTAATCTTGAAAGTTCATCAATAAAGTGCATTACTTGCCATTTCTGAATTAAATTTGGTAATATTCAGTGTGAAAATGCAACCCAAGCTCTTATGAAAACGTACGTTTCTGAAGACCGCTATTTACGTGGCCGGAGGTACATATGGCCGCATTTCGTTTTTTCAAGCGAATGCTATGTAGTGTGACGCCGCTCCTCTTTGCGCTTGCCGGCTGGGCTGACGGCTTGACTCCTCCATGTGGAGGGCTTTCCCACCACAACTAGTTTGTCCGGTTAACATGTCGTGTTACGTGTTACGAGCCGGCTGAAGAAGAGCGGTTCCAGAAATCAAGTAAGACGAAAGACAGAATCCAAAAAATAAAGCGAACGAGTTCGTAACGGGGCGAGAATTCAGTGAAATCCGAAAACATGGTCAAAATCGGACGAGGGCTTTTAATTTTCTGCACGGCTTATGTAAATTGTCACTTGGGTTTAGGGAAGAAGGAGGAGGATGGCCGGGTCGGCCGATTGGCCGGCCGCCCAGTCAACCGTTCAATCATTCAGCCAGTCGGAAAGACAGTTGCTCGACAGCGGCCTCTAGCGGCTTTTTACGTGAGAACAGCTTGGGCGCGAGAGGCGTTCGAGGTGCGAAAAAGTGCGCACCGTGGCGGATTCGCAGAAACTAAAACTGCACAAATACGTATCTCCCGAGACAAATTTTGCAGTCTCCAGAAACGTTTGCGGGGCTACATTTCCAGAATGAGCTTGGGTTGTGAAAATGGCTTCAGCCAACACGGTGGCCGAGTGGTTAGCACTAACGCCTCACAGCAAGAAGGTCACTGGTTCGAGTCCCCGCTGGATCAGTTGACATTTCTGTGTGGAGTTTACATGTTCTCCCCATGATGGCGTGGGTTTCCTTTCGGGTGCTCCGGTTTCCCCCACAGTCCAAACACATGCGCTATAGGGGAATTGGATGAGTTTATGGATATTTGTGTGTGAGTGTGTGATATTGTAAAATGTACATATCTGAGTAACGTCTGTCCGTCTGTGTCTCTTCACAAGCCCAGCTCGTAGTGGAGGCAGACACGTTCGGCAGCCAGGTGCGAATCCGAGGGAAGGAGACCAACTTTTACCTGTGTATGAACCGCAAAGGAAAACTCGTAGGCAAGGTGAACCTCACTGCACACACACACACACACCTGTGCTTTTATTTTACTGTAAATATCTAAACACTCTTTAGAATAATGGTCTATTGGTAATGTACTAACTAACTAGGGTTGGGTACCGAAACTCGGTGCCATAATACCTTTGTAACCGGTATGCACCAGGCCGATTCAGCATATGAATTTCGGTGCCTAATTCCGGTGCCACTGGTGCTGCGACAAGAACGTAAAAGCAAGTCGACGGCTGTCCACGGCGCTCAGAGCACGACACAGAGCACCATCTGAATAGTTTCATTTGAAATAACATGTGAATGTGCGTGTCTGGTGTGTGATACTTTCAACTGTTGCGTGCGCGCAGCGCCGCGGCTCAGAGCGGCGCATCCACTGTGTGACGCCCTTAAAAAACATCGAGGGGTGCATCAAAGGCACACATAAGTACACGTTGTGTCACACCATCTCTAAATATTTAATTCTAAACAGCTTTGAGGGATAAGGATGTCAGCGATGCTACTCGTTTGTTCTTGTCGCTTACAGAAGGCAAAGCGCGCAGTACGGCGCATGCAGTGAGCGACTTCCTTCATCAACACGCATGATGACATTCATCTAATTTACTTAAACTAAACACTCTAAAGTGTGGCTATATTTTACAAGCAAGGATTCTGACCCACCAACATGCAGCCGGTGCTTTAGAAAAGTTGCGTGTACTGGGTGAAACACGTCAAACTTATGAAATGTGAGGGCTCATGGAATCAACTTAAAGGTAAGGAATGGACTGTGTTTGACAGCTTGCGCCATCATTTTCAGTGAGTACGCTTACATGGACACCAATACTCTGATTTTAACATGATTAGACTCTACCACGTAAACAGTGATTTTTGATTATCTTAAAGGACCACAGACACAAACTGGGGAGGAAACATTTATAGGCCTATAGGGATTTATAGGGATCTGTGTGCTATAACATGTAGAATCATGAATGTAACATTCAAAAAGCAGCTCATGTAAACACCTGACTCATATTATTGTCTTATTCAGATTAAGGCAAATCATTAGATCACTGATGTCCATGTAAAAGTAGTCACAAGCCTCAAACCCAGAACAAAGGTGTTCCCTGAATTTGATGACAGCCTGTCCGCAGGTTAGTAGTAAGCTAATGTAATGTTAATAGTATTATGTAAATTTTGCATTCAGGCAAACAAACAAATGATTATAAGAAATATATATATATGCAATTCAAGTATATATATATATATAAAAAAAGAATTGGTGTTTACTTTAAACTTATTATAAAAATATGTTTATATTGTTCAATTATAATGATTCAAATATTTTTTGTCGAATAATTTTGTGGCTAAAAAGGCACCGGTACCATTTTAAAAGTATCGATTTAGCACCATCGAAATAACCCCAAACGATACCCAACCCTATTACTGACATTAACCAAGTATGAATAATTTTATAAAGCATTTACTAATCATAGTTCAACATGAAGGGGTGGCATAGTGGCTCAGTGGTTAGCACGGTTGCCTCACAGCAAGAAGGTTGCTGGTTCGAGTCCCAGCTTGCTCAGTTGCATTTCTGTGTGAAAAATGCTTTTCTTGCTTAGATTTTTTTGTCTTGTTTCTAGTCATAATATCTCAAATTTCTTATATTAAGAAGCATTTTCTAGACAAGCAAAACATATTGTCTTGTTTCGAGAAATAATATGCCAATATTAAGTGAGTTTTTCCTTAAAACAAACAAAATAATCTGCCAATGGGGTAAACAAATTATCCATTATATTTATTAAATTATTTTTTTTCCTTGGATGTAGGACTATTTTACTTACCTAATATTAACTCACTAATATTAACTCACTTAATATTGGCATATTATTTCTGAAAACAAGACAATATGTTTTGCCTGTCTAAAAAATTCTTCTTGACTTAGGAATTTTTAGATATTTAGACTAGAAACAAGACAAAAAAATCTAAGTAAGAAAAGCATTTTTTGCGGTGCATGTTTTCCTAATGTTGGCGTGGGTTTTCTTCGGGTGTTTCGGTTTCCCCAACAGTCCAAACACATGCGCTATAGGGAAATTAAATACGCTAAATTGTTCATAGTGTATGTGTGTGTGAGAATGTGAGAGTGTATGGGTGTTTCCCAGTACTGGGTTGTGGCTGGAAGGGCATCTGCTAAAACACATGCTGAAATAATTTGCAAACTCCACACAGAAATGCCAACTGACCCAGCCGGGACTCAAACCAGCGACCTTCTTGCTGTGAGGTGACAGTGTTAACCACTGAGCCACCGTGCTGCCTAAAATGCAATTATACACATTAACAGG